CGCAGAACGGAGCTTTGGCCGTTGCGGGCGGACGCGATATCGTTCCAATCATCAACGGGCTACTTGCGTCGCCGAAATTCGACGTGAGAGTAGCGACGAGAGACTGGCACCCGGCAGACCATATTTCTTTCGCTGCCAACCACCCCGAACCAGATAATCGACCCTTCGAAAGCTTCGTCACGATCGCAAACCCGTATAATCCCTCCGAGAGTTATGAGACGCGGCTTTGGCCCGTGCATTGTGTTCAAGACACCCCAGGGGCACAGTTTGTCCCGGATCTTGAAACGACGAGGCTCGACAGGGTTTTCGATAAGGGACAGGACAAGAGGGTGGAGATGTATTCCGCATTTGGGGACCTCTTCGAGAATCCGCGGGTTGCTCAGAGCGGGCTGCAGGAATACTTGAAGGGAAAGGGAGTTGGCAAGGTATTCGTCGTCGGGCTCGCTCTGGACTACTGTATCAAGGCTACCGCTGAACATGCAGTTATGGAGGGGTTTGCAACCTTCGTAGTCGAGGACGCAATTAAAGCGATTGATCCAGGCGTGTGGACGAGCGCGAAGGCGGAGATGGAGGGTAAAGGGATTAGATTTGTTGCATCGCAAGATTTAAAGTTGCCTTAGAGGATATGTACATGTCATTGAAACATTGGTGTACAATACTGCGAAATAGTTGGTTTCGCACTCTGAAAGAAATTTATAAGTGAGTTTTTGTCGAAGCCGGATAGGAGGAGGAGGATGTATTACTGCAGCGGTCCCATCAGGAAACAAGCAGGCTCTGTACCTACGTACAACACGTCCGTATGTACGTTACAGACATCGGGAGCCCTAGCGCTTTGATAGCCTACAAGTATAGACGTCTCACGAATAGACCGAACCGACGGGTGAGCCGATTATCCAGGAACCCTGTAAACCACGGGGAAGAAACGGGGCGCAGAGTCTATATTCGCGCGGTACTTTATCCTTGTACCGTGCGGAGTAGCGGAGCCGTTCCACGCTGAGATTGTGATCCCCGAGGTACAGGCCGGTCAGCGCTTTGCGATGCGCGGGAACGACAACCAAGCTCAAGTAATGCCGCAGGTGGCGAGTGACCAAGTTTAACGAGTTGCCTTCCCTGGGTTCGAGCCTATTGCGTAACAGGTGAGTTTTGACCAAGTTATCGATGTCGAACTGCAGGTCCGCATCCACGATGTCCATAATGCGGATTATGAGGGAGTCGATGAAATCCACGGAGAGCAAGTCATCTGGTGAAACTTCAATTGGCATCGGTAAGCGTCGCAGCATTACCACCAAATCTGAAGCCCACCCAGCTTGTAGGAGCGAGAGGATAGGCGCATCCAGAAACGTCAGCCTCTGAATCGGAAAGGAAATCAGAATATAAGAGGGGCTTTGAACACAGGGGGGGGGGGACTACTAGTAGTACTCACCCGTTCGCAATGAACTACAATGTACGGATTCAAATCCAGTGTAGGTGTGATTTCCGGATGCTTAGGTCCATGCCCAAATCCGAATGCGCCTTCCAGCGCTCTCGAATAGTGGGGCTGGGATATGCGCCTTCTTTTCCGAGCTGAAGGGATCACGTGAGCGGTGTGTTCGATTTTCGCGTGCTCAGCATGTCAGTGATGTTCTCGAACATCATTGGCGCCGACTGTGTTGCCAAGAATCTGAAGGACAATGTCTGCAGGTGTGCAAGAATAGGAGGAGAGTTTCCACAGTGAAGTTGCGCGGGCCGATACTGCCCCGGATTTCAAGCCTCGCGAGCCCAGGGAGTGATATAAAATCCAGGACATCGACCGTTTTTAGAGATAGATGTTGGGGAGATGTGGGGCGGGAGTGGCGGCGCTTCGGTATCCAAGGGAATTGCGCGAAAGGTATTTACCACGCAGTGGACAAGCTTTGAGGTTTGTCTCAGCAGGTGCAGAAACGCTGTGACCGTAAGCCGCTCGTAGCATTCAAAGCTCTGCCAGGGTAGAGCGACATCGTACGGCCAAAGTTCACGCCCCAGATGAACCTGATGTAACATCGGAGCAGATTGAGAGAGCACTAAGGGAAGCTCAGCTTTGGGACTGGCCATGCTGAGGCGCTCGAGTAGTGGGAAAGAATCAGAGAAGAGGGCAGTGATAGGCCGCACTTGTCGCGAAACTTCGTCAAGTGCCGGTTGAGACACTTGACAAGAAGTCCGTCCAATTTAGTGCTGTGGCAGACGAGGGTGGTTGCTTACGGATGGGTTTTTGCACGAGCAACCCAAGTGTCGAGGAGGGAAATGTATTTTTCAATGTGACAGTTTCCACTGGCAGGAGAATAACATTCGCATGTTATGCAGAACACGGTCCAAATTCTTGGTGTGTTCAGGGCGACTGCCCGCCATTCCTTGAAAACATGGGTGAGAACGATGGGCGCCTCGTTTGGGCGAGGCAAGGGAGGCGCCTCGTCAAGAAGACAATCGACGAAGATTTTGGGTTTGAATGGCAATGGCGGTTTGCTGCAAAACCACGTTTGATCGGAACTTCGGGCCGTTGCTGTCAATGTGGCTGTGCTCCGACTCCATCCTTTGCAGTCTCCAGCGGACGCTCTGAACCCTGCGTCGAATGATAATAGGTTCCAATGGCTGCTACAGTAGCATATTCCGATCCTCGGTCAGTTCAACTCAGGTTGTTTGTCAGCTCCTGACATACCGTCAATTACTGGACAATTGCCGGGCGCGCGGCTATTGCTATCATTGGGCTTGGGTGCTTCCCAGTCCTGACTTCCTTGAGTTTACGGCGTCTTCCCTCAGGCTGAACTAATTATTTTGTGCTCTTTCCCCTAGGTCCTTCAGCAAACGAGGAACGACGAGGCAATTCCTTATACGTAGCACTGTGCCGCGGCCAATTCGTTCATGCGGCACTGTTTGAGCACTCTGCCGAAGGGATTCGTCCCCTCGGCGCATACGGAGTCGGCGGTTCCGTGGATGCCGATTGGGAGCTTGCAGAGTCCGAAATCCCGCAAGGAAGAGCCCAAATTTCCAATCGTTTAAATACAGCAGCGGAAGGAAGGTCGAACATCCAGTTCAATCTACTTCCTCGAAATGTCCGCCCCTCAAATGCAATACGGTTCGCCTCCATCGAATGCGCAAATAACTCTGCAGCTGACCCTGGGTACCTCCATCTTCAGTGCGCCTCGGCCAATCAGGCCTGAAAATCTCGAAAATTATCCTCGGGTGCATGACCTACGGGCATCCCGAGTGGTCCGGCAACTGGGTCCTCGCGGAGGAGGAGGCCTCGAAGCACATCAAGGCTGCGTGCGTCATTATGCCCATTCTTTGCTGTTCTTCTTTTTCACTGCGTCGACTCCAGTTATGACTACGGCATCAATGCGTTTGACACGGCTAATGTATGCATGCCATTGGAATGTGGAAGGAATTCGAACTGAAACACACTTGAACTAGGTATACTCTAATGGAATTTCTGAGGAAATCCTTGGGCGCTCGATCAAGAAGCACCGACTGCCGCGCGACGAAATCGTCGTGATGACCAAGCTGTGCGGTGCCGTCTCGCGCAACCCGAAGGAAGCACTATATGGGCGCACGGATCTGGACAGCAGCGGCTATGCGAATCAGTACGGGCTGAGCCGCAAGGTATTTATTTGCTTGGTCCGCGAATTTCTGTGCACTGACGCCCTGTGGAACTTACTTAGCAATATCTTCGACTCTGTGAAGCACAGCCTGCGGCGCCTGGACCTCGAGTATATCGATCTGCTGCAGTGTGAGTTTATTTCCCAGTGTTATTTGGCTCTTTCACCCATCAGACTAGGCCATCGATTTGACCCCAATACGCCCATTTCGGAAACGGCGCGTCCACTTCCCATTTTTACGCGCCGATTTCAAGAACTCAACTTATATCACAACAGATGCAAACCCTCCACGACGTCGTCAAGGCCGGATACGTTCGCTACATCGGGATGTCCTCGTGTTATGCCTACCAATGTGCGCACTATCGTTGAGCGAGGTGCATTCGCCGATACTGATCATTACGTGTCTACTCGCCCAGTCCACGCTATGCAGAGTATTATATTCGCTCCTTAGTTTGATGGCTCCAGCTGACCATCAACTTTAGACTACGCGATCACCAACGGCTTGACGCCCTTCATATCCATGCAGAACCAGTACTCGCTCGTCTACCGCGAAGAGGAGCGGGAGATGATGCCGTTGTTGGACGTGGGTCTAGAGACGATTATATTGTTCCTCATAGCTGATTGGCATAATGAACAGATGTTCGGGGTCGGTTCCATCCCATGGTCGCCGCTTGCCCGTGGCGCGCTTTCGCGCCCCCTCGCGAAGCAGACGGATACGAACCGCGGGAGCTCCGACGTGTGCGTCCATGTCCTCGCAGCAGAGCTCCAGCACTGACTCACGGAATACATTCCTAGGCTGCCGTCCACCTTCTATGTCTCTTCTGACGCGAACAAGGAGGTGGTGAGAAGGCGAGGATCTCAATACCCGTGTAATGCGCCGCTGTTGATACTTACTTACTTATAGAGCCGAACAAGTCGCGGCGAAACGCGGTATCAGCATGGCGCAGGTTTCCGTCGCGTGGGTTTTGTCTAAGAAAAGTCGGTATTTTTATTTTTATTTTTCTGGTTCGTTGCGCGTTGGCACTCACAACGAAACCAACTGTCTCCGCACCGATTGTCGGCACCTTCCTCGCTCGAGAATCTCAGGGATATAGTTGGTGAAGTTCCTCCTGATTTTTTTTTTTCGAGAAGTCCAGGGTGAGTCTGAGATATTTATTTATCTTTCAGGCGCTGATTGATGTAAAACTCACTGAGGAGGAGATCAAGCTCTTGGAGGAGCCCTACCAGGCCCATGGCGATCTTTGGGCATTAGATGAGGCGTTCTCTGATTTATACAGAGTCGGTTGCAGTTTGGATTGAACGGGAACTTGTGGAAGGCTTGCAGCGTGTATCACCGAGTTCAATTTGACCTCAAGTGTGGGTAGAAGCTTGTTTGTGTCTAAAGTGGAATATGACTTAGTGGTGTAGAGGTTAACATACCTGCATAATGGTAGGGTGCCAACGTCTGGAATTATTGTGGGAGTTCCCTGTTCAATTCAGGGCTGGGTCATTCTTTTTTGTTCCATCAAATTCGTTTTTTTGATCCAGCCAAGTGTGGGTTGAAGTCCATTTGGAGTGGGAAAAATAAGGCCTGGTGGTGTAATGGGTAACATACCTGCATGTTGTGGCCGTTAGCGAAATCAGTTTACAGGAGATCCTTGTTCAACTCAGGGCTAGGCCATTTTTTTTTTGATCCATCATGTTCGACTTTTTTGATCCACCCAAGTTTGCGTGACGATCCATTTGACTTTGTAAGGAGCACGATCTGGTGGTGTAGTGGATAACATGCCTGCATATTGTACACATTCCTCGCCGATACTTTTGCAGGAGATCCCAGGGCTAGGCCATTACATTTTTTTCCGTTGTTGAATTACATTTTGGCTCTAACGAAGTGCGGGTTGAAGTTCATCTGGTTTGGGGATTAAATATGACCTAGTGGTGTAGTGGTAACATGCATTGCTTACTGTATTTCCAGTACTTCTAGCAGCATTGTAGGAGATCCCTGTTTGACTCAGGGGTATGTAGGTCATTCTTTCTTTTTCTGGAATTGTATTTTGAACCATTTATGTTTGCATGAAAGTTCATTTGGTTTTAGAAGGAAGATAGACCTGGTGGTGTAATGGTTAACGCACCGGCATGCTGTCTGTTGGAATTAATAAACCTATGTGGGAGATCCCTGTTCGAATCAGGGCTGGGTCATGATTTTTTTTCTGTCATTGTATTTTGAATCACTGAAGTGTCGGTGGAGGTTTATTTGGCTTTAGAAAAGAATACGATCCGGTGGTGTGTTGGTTAACGCGCCTGCATAGCATTGCTGCTTCATATGGTGTTCTGTGGGAGATCCCTGTTCAACTCGGGGTTGGATCATTGTTTTTCTTTATTAGAATTCTGAACTTGAATGCTCTGAACTTTTAGTTTCTGATATCGGAAATAATACAGTGTAAATCACGGCGAATACTACTCAGAACATTGGCAGCCATTCAGCTAACATAGTTCAACTTTGCGTCGGAAGATGCCGGATCAAGCCGAATTCCCATAATTGTTTGCTGTCACGATCACGATCACGCGTCTGTCCACCAACTCTCCTCTCCTCCTCCACCATGCCCCCTACGCGGTCGCACCCCCCGAAGCAGCGCACGACCATCATCATCGAGACCACAGGCGGCGCTCCCGTCTTCCACATCCCCGTCCCTCTCAACATCGTCTCGCGCGCCCCGCCAGGCGGCGCAGTCAAATTCGTCTTCCGCAACATCGGGGGCACCCCGACGTTCCACGTCGGCGGGGCGGAGGTGGGCGTGGGGGACGAGGATGCGTGGGATTTGGGGAGGGTGGTGAGGGCGGTGGGGGAGCGGAGGGTGAAGATTGAGGAGGAGGAGCGGAGGTTGCGGATAGATAGTGGGAATGGGGGCGCGGGTGGCGGGGATGTGCGGGTGTGGGTGAAGGAGGAGGAGGAGGAGGTAAGGATTCCGGGGAGGGAAAAGGGGAAGGGGAGGGAACGCGATTTGGGTGAGTATTTTATTTATTTATTATTTTTGTGTTATTTATTCGCGCGGTAGTGCCGCGACGCGTTGACGGGCCTAGTCGGCAGGTACAAGGTACATATATATTTCTTTTCGTTATTTTCTTATCTTATGGTAATCCACAGTAGAAACGGTCGACCTGCGCACCCCGCGACGCCCCGCAATCGAATACACCCCATCCAACTCGCAATCTCAATCGCAGCCCCTCCCGCCCCCTCACCCCCTTACCGCCGAAGAGCGCCTCGCATTCGCCCGCGCGTCGCTCACCTCCTCAAATTTCCCCGCAGTATTCTACGATGGCCGGCGAGAGTTCGCGCTTGAATGCGCGCCCGCGCTGCCTGCGGACCGGGCGCTCAGCGCGCGCGAGGAGAAGGAGTACGATAGGCTCTGGGACGCGCTGTTGCGGATGGAAAGGGTGGCGGGGGCGCAGATGGGTGAGTTCAATTCGAATTGTTATTCAAAGCGTGAAGGATGGCTGACGACCCGTAATAGACGTGGACACGCTGCGCCAGCGCACGGGGGAGATGATGTCGGAGGCGGTGGCGCGCGTGCATGCCGCGCTGGGTACGTCGTGGCGCTGTAAATGGCCCCTTTTCCTGACAAATGCGTATATTTTTTTTTCAGATGTAGGTGGCAGCAGCACCTCCAATTCGAATTCGAATTCCACCTCCAATTCTTCCGGCTCGGGGTCGGGGTCGAGGATGCATCCTCATACTACTACTCCCGGTACGTGCTTTCGCCTTTATTATTTTTTTATTGTATTGCATACGACCTAACTAACCTCTTCCACCCGCAGCACCAGACGGCGGCGCGCAGGATGTCGTCGCCAACACTATGCAGGAGCTCGTGGACATCGACAGCGCAGCGGACGATGTCCTCCAGAGCATGGCGCAGGAGGTCGCGGACAGCGTCACGCGAGACGTCGTCGACCTCGTTGGGCGCGATATGGAGGCGCGGGACCTCGTGGGCGTCGCGACGCGGGACCGCGTGGACGTCGCGGCGCAGCATGCGGGAAAGGGCGCCGCAGCGCCCGACATGGGCATCCCGAAGCCCGACCTGGGCATCACGACGCGCGACATGAGCAATGGCATCGCGGGGCAAGACGTCGTGGACCTCGTGCGCACCGGCCTCGGGTCCCTGCGCGCCGCGCTCGTCGCTGCCTCGACCTCCAACTCCAACTCCAACTCGACCTCCCACTCGGCCTCAACGTCGATTGCGAGCTCGCCGTCGACCGCTGCGGTGGCGAGGCGGACGCGGGCGCGGGCGCGCGGTGCGGACGTCCAACACCAGTCGCATGCGCGCACGGCGCTCGCGTCGGGGAGCGGCAGCGGTGGCGTCGGTGCTGCTGTCGGGGATAATACTACGGACGCGCGGCAAGGTGGGTTATCTATTCTTCCGGTACGCTTTGCATGAAAGGTGCTGACTGGTGCGCGCGCGCAGATTCGGGCCATGAGCAGGGCAGGCACGAACAGCGGCGGCGCCTGGGGGGAGGTGCGTTTGCTTTCGGTTTCGTTCGTCTGTGCTTTTTTTGGGAGCGTTTTTTTGGGGGTGGGGGGCCTCTTCTTGGTGGAGGCGGACCCGTCTGATCGCCTTCCGTGTCTTGTCCCGCCCATCCCTCGTCGACCGGTCTTTGCCCTGACCTCGACGTCGTCCCCGTCGTCATCGGTGGCTGCGTGCGCACGCCCTGTTTTTCCTTGAGACGCTCCGCGTGCTCCTTTCTTTCTTGCTTTTATTTATATTTCTTCGTTTTCTCGCTTCCATGTTTTTCGTTTTTCGCTTTCGGACCCGGGTCTCCCTTGCGGCCGCCCTCCGCTGCGCGCCCCGTCGATCAGTCGCTGGGAGGCGGCTGACGATGGATGCGCCGTTCGCTCCGCACCCCATCCGTCGAGCGCTGGGAGGCGGCTGACGATGGGAGGCGAGGTGCTTACGCCCTTCCCCGCCCTTGCTGTGGGGCATACGCCCTCCGCCCTCGCTGCTGTGCATGCGCCCTCTGCTCCGCTTGCACCTGTCCCTGGCACGATCCGCCGTCAGTCGGGCGCTGGGAGGCGAGGGGGCCGACGGCGCCGGGCGGACAGACAGATCTGGCGCATCCAGCGCCGGACGAGAGAGAGCCGGCGCTGGGAGGTCGCCTGCTCCCGAGTGCGCTGGAGTATGCAGTGTGGTTTGCTGGGGCTCGTACCGCCCAGGAGAGAGGGAGAGCAGGCGCACTGTGATCGGGACGGGCGGGGCGCTGCATGCAATGCACGGCATGCCTGCCCTTCGCGCATGCGGGACGTGCCGGTCTTTTGCGCGTCCGCGACTCGCCGGGGGTCGGCGTACCACTTGTTTCGATGCACACATCCTCTGAGCGCGCATCTGGAAGGTAGTTGGGCCGGCATGCACGCCCCAAGCGGGAGATGCGGTTCTGCGTGTGCCTGGCGCAATGTGCCGCATCCTTGGGCAGCGCACGGCCATATATACCCCCGTGCTTCTTTACCTAGCGGCAGACGTGCTTAGCGTGCAGGCGCACGCCGTGTAGGCTATCCATCATTTTCCACGCGACGTTGTTTATTATGCGCGCGCGCACTCGGTCGGAGGGCGGACATTCTCGTCAGTGGCCGTAACGACGCGCGCGGTGTGCATGTACCCCTGCGTTTGCTTTTGGCGCGTTTTGGGGGCGGCTGACATGCGGCTCGTCGGGTGGCTGACGAGCGCTGTCTGTGCTCCTGCGGCGAGTGTGCGGAACGCGTTCGTGCTTTGAAGGCTCGTTGGGCGGCTGACGAGCGCCACATATGCTTCTGCGGCGAGTGGCTGGCTGGCTACTGTGCGGAACGCGCTAGTGCTGGAGGCTCGTTGGGTGGCTGACGAGCGGTTTGTGTGTCGACCGCTGACTTACTATGCCCGTACTACTCGGTGGCAGACCCGTCGAGGTTTGGTGGCTTCTCGCATGGCTGGTGCGCGTTGGGTTTGGCGGCTCGACGGGGCCCCCAGGATTCGTATCTCGGTAGCTTATTCCTCGTCCGTTCTCGACAGTACCCGCATCAGTGGAGTGGCTGCAGAGTCCTTGGTGGCGCTTCGACCCTCTTTTCTTCTCGCGTCTGAACCGTTTATTCTATTCTATTCTATCCTCCCACTCGCCTTTCTTCATTCTCCTTCGTTTCTTCTTCCCTTCTTAATCCTTCCCTTGGTTCTTCCCCCCTCCTCTTTTCCCTCTTCCCTGTACGTCCACGCCCGCTAACCACCCCCCTGTCCCACAGAAACGACGAAAGAGAATGCGGCGCCGCGGGCCCTCGCCTTCTCCAAGGCCGCTGCAACGAAGAGCACCACCGCCGGCGCCGCGAAGCCGTTGCTCCTCCATAACAACAACGACGCAGGCGCGGGTGTTGCGTCGCGCGATGGGAATATGAGCAACAAAAGCCATGCGAACACGAGCAACAACAGCCACGCGAACACGAGCAGCAATAGCCACGCGAATACGACTACGAACATCAATAACAAGAACGGTAAACGC